AACCGAACTGTTACTTTTTTGATGGAATGTATTAGCAGATTTAAACTGAAAAATTATTAGGGCTTTGATGTAACATACAGTATATGATTACCAGACAAGCTGTTCTGCTCCCTTACCCCTGGTTCACATATCCACATTCCTGCAGTGTGCGTTTTGCGCGGGCACGAGACCCAATTCATTTGAGAGAACTCCCAGGACACGCAGGGAAGAAGATCGGTTCCTGGTGCGGTTACGATTTCCAGTGTGGGCGGCGTGCCATTAGAATGAATGGCACCCACCCGCAGGTCCGCATTCATCTGTGTGGGTGGTTCGGCTGCACACATTTTTATGCAGATCCACAGCGGCACCACCTGCACATATGTGAACCTAGCCTTATAGAATTAAACGTTATTTTTCCATTTCAGTTTGTAACCAATAAGATTTGTTCATGGTAAAAAAATTCAGATTTTGCTTCCTTGCAACCATGGCATCAGTATTCCTTGTGCAGATGCCCCTAGAAATCTCATGCTCTCTTCATGCAGTAGACTTGCTTTTCCTAGAAATCTGCACAGAGCTTGTAGTAACATTTCAGACATCCCCAGAACTGTTTTTAGGTTTACTGAATTGAGCCTTTTATCTCTGGTGATGTACTGGTCATATCCTTTTTCCCCAAAAACAAGCCATACACATCCACTGTTTAAAACAGCAGTAAATCGCAGGAATGTGAAAAAGAAAAAGTCCCCTGCAAAGTATGCATTGCATCGCTTAAAACGAAGCCCTCCAACGGCGTGCTGTCACCATTGTCAAGGCTTCCATCTTCACCAGTCTCCCTTGCGGGTTCGCAAGCTCTGGCCATCTGACAGGCCGGGCCACAATCATGTCACTTCTGCACATGCACACAAGAGTCCCGGGCCACGACACACAGCTCTGAAGGAACGGCTTGAATGTGCCATACCTTAAGCACTCATGTGCCAGCCTAAAAAAAGAGAATATATCTCCTAAACTGTGCACGTTTAGGAGATTGTCATTTTACCTACAGGTAAGCTTTGTTATAAGCTTACCTGTAGGTAAAATGAAAATAAATGAGTTTACTATCACTTTAACTGGTTCCCAACGGAAGGACGGCTACAGCGTGCTTGTGAAATTTTGGGACGACGTCCATGGACGGCATTTCAGAACACGCCTCCAGCGGCGCACACCCAGCGCTGCTGGTGATCAGCTGTGTCCTACGGAAGCAGCTGATCACGTGATACGGTAAATGGCCAATCACGGTGGCCTTTTGCCACGTGATCAGCTGTGTCCAATAACACAGCAGATCACCGGGTAAATACAGTTGCTGGCTATCGGCTGCACTTTCCTCACGCTGTCACAGCGTGAGGAAAGTACTGCCAAGAACCGCAATTGTCAGTGAAGGGATCGGCGCTGATCATCAGGGCACTGATGATCAGTGCCACCCACCTTTGCCCAGCAGTGCCACACACCTGTGCCCATCAGTGCTGCCTATCAGTGCTGTAAAGCAGTGCCACCTCATCAGTGCCGATCAGTGCTGCCTCATCAACACACATCGGTGTGCAAAATTTTGTAATAGAAACAATGAAAAACTTTTTTTTTTCAAATTTTTTTGCTCTTTTTTTGTTTATAGCGCAAAAAAAAAAAACACCCAGCGGTGATTAAATACCTCCAAAAGAAAGCTCTCTTTGTGTGAACAAAATGATAAAAGTTTCATATGGGTATAGTGTTGCATGACCGCGCAATTGTCATTCAAAGTGTGACAGCGCTGAAAGCTGAAAATTGGCCTGGGCAGGAAGGGGGTATAAGTGCCCGGTAGGCAAGTGGTTAACGTCCCTGTAATCTGTTTTTCATTAAATCGTCATACTGTGTTTTTCTACCTTCTTCTCCCTGATCTCCCAAACCTTTTTCTCCCGTCTCAGCTGTTTGTTTGGAACAAGCAGTGCATTTTAGTTGTGGTCATATCCACTGCTCTATGCACATTACAAATCCCATAGACCCAAGTCTGTCTCTGGAGTGAGCAAGAGGGAGTGGATACATTCCCACATACAGGGGGACCATGCGAGAATGAACATAGCCACCCTTTAACAGGAAGTAAGATCACAGCAGCAAAAAAAAAAAAGGCATTTGGAGGACGCTGAGAGCAATAGAGAAGGTTCTTTTTTTTGAGTTAAAAGAGAAGTAGGGCTTTTTTCCCCCCCCCAAATTATACTTACCTAGGCAGATGCAGCATCGATCCGATGCTGAATCTGTCCTCCTCCGGCTCTAATAGTGAACACTCAGCGATCACTTGACTGCTGCTCTCTGAGTTCTCCTCTCTGCTCTGAGCAGAGAGCGGGCCTGCCAGTCGCCATTGTCTGCTCAGTCCCCCAGTGCTCACTGGAACGCTGGGCTGTGGAGGGGCAGGGAGCAGCTGGCTCAGGCTCTCAGCACTTTGCTGAGAGGCTGAGTCAGGTGCCGCTCCAAACTCTGGTGTGGATCCCGACTTTGAAGTCAGGATCTTTCCCCAGCCTGGACCGGCTGAGTGACATCAGCCAACAGCAGACTTCAGTCCACTCTCCGCTGAAAATGCGTCACAGAAGAGCAGATGAACTGCACTCCTGTTATCCACAGGAGTAGTACAGCCAAGGAAGCTTTGGCTGTACTTCTCCTTTAAGAATACATACTTGAATATATTTTTTTAAATTAGAGTTTGGGGTCACTTTAAGCTTTAAAAATGAAAGCTAGAAGCGGATTGGTTGCCTTGCACAGCTGCTCCAGATTCTGACCTCACAATGTTAGCGATAGGAAGTGAGTGGAAAATCTCTCCATTGATTGCATAGATCAGGGGTCTCCAAACTATGGCCCTCCAGCAGTTGAAATACTACAAGTCCCATCATGCCTCTGGGAGTCTTGCCTGTGGCTGTCAGAGTCTTGCAAGGACTCATGGGACTTGCAATTCCTCAACACCTGGAGGGCCTTAGTTTGGAGACCCCTGGCATAGACAATCATAGGAAGCCCTTGCCCATTTTATACAAAGATTAAAAATAAATTAGTGTAAAGACAAGATTTTTTAAAAAAAATTTTCATTTTAGATAGGGATTTTGCCCTTCTGTGTTACATTTTTTTTTTCCTACTGTGTCCTGCTGGGGAGATTTTTCTTCACTTCCTATACTGGAGACTTAAGAGAAAATTAAAAGAAATGTCTCTAAATTGATTTTTCATATTAGGGCATTGTCACAGCAAGAGGTGTCCCTATTGGAGGCATATCCCTCACCTCTTTTTGTTACAAGAGCTCTAAAGACTTGGATTGTGCCTCATTTTCTAGTCTCACCCTTACCTACTCTAAATTAAAGTGTATGTAAAGGCATTTTTTTTTTAAAGTGTTGCACCTTTTATCTCATTTTAGTCCCGTACTCTCACATGTTAATAATTTGTTAATAATAAAATTCTTCTTGCATCTCTCTCCAGTGCTCTATGCTAGCAGAGCTGAGTAACGGCCACACCCCTCGTCACAAATGCCCTCCCATAGACTTGCGTTGCAGAAAAAGGAAGGTGTCTGTTAGATCATACAGTGCGCTGGGCAGTGTGGTCGAATTCTAGTGCCTACTTGACTTGCAGTCATTCATAATTAGACACACTCTACAAACAACCCCCTTTCCATTGTCTTTATGCCAGTTTCCTTTTGTACAATGTCTATCTGACAGCATATCTATTTCTGTAACTTTTGCTGAGTTTTAAAACTTGGTGAAATCCTCTGTAGTTGTATTGATTTGTGTTGTATTCCCTTTTTAAAGACTTGTGGAGCTGATGCCAGTAGTTTGAACTGCCTTCCATACTTGCACATATCTGACTGACACGGTTACATTTCCTAACAGTAGTATCTCTCTTGTCTTCCGACCAATCTCAACAAAAGTCACTCTACTATAAAAGGACTACCATTTTGTATTCTAAAATGTAGCATTGTGAGCATCTATCTGTAATGTGTGATCCCATCGTTTTCCCTTCTGGTGGTAGCAATATTTGAACAGATGTGGGCTTTTTGTTGGAGATATCTTTCCAAAGGAGTCGTCTTGAGATACAAAAAGATGGCATTTAATTAATCTTGGCAGCAATCTCACAGTACTAAATTATTGGCTTTAGGAGCCTTTAAAATCATATTAAAGCTTTTTTTTTTAATTAAAATAAAATACATGTTATATTTATCTCTGCTGTGCAATGCACAGAGCAGTTTCTTTTTTTTTTTAACCGCCATAATTTCTCTTTATTGATCATATTAGTGGTAGAATAACAGCAGATGCCAATCCAAGACACAGCGTAGCATATCAGAGCACATAGGACCAAAAGGTACATATATCAAGCACATACAGATATGGAATAATCTCCAGAGTGGTTCACTGAGCATATTGGGGAGCAAATGGGAGGAGGAACCACAAAAAAATCAGGCAGCAACTTTATGGTATACAAATTCTACGTGAATAGAAAAGGAAAACCCTTGTTTTTCTAACCTCTGCTGCCAGATTTTCATATTTCTTAGGACAATACCTATTGAAATAGATTAGTTTATACATAGGGAGCACTACATTAATTGCAGATTCCCATGATGCCAGCGAGGGAGGGGAGCGGACAAAGCAGTCTCTTTCCTCCCCTTTTGCAGTCCCCTGACGATGCTCTCCACTCCTCCTTCCTTCAGGTGCCCCCTCAGCAAGCTGTGTGCTAAGGGGGACCTGTGCAGGCATGCTCAAGCTGGGCTGTGTGCAATTATAGACACACACAGTGCTGGTAAGCCATGCTCCCGCTTCGGAGTTTGACTGACAGCAGCAGGAGCCTATGACTCCTGCTTTCAAAGTCACCTTTAAGACCAGCAAGAGGAGAGCGGAACTGCACCTGGATCGGTGAGAGTTGTCAGGTAAGTGTTTAGGGATCGGGGAGAGGTAACAGTTATTGGGACATTTTTACCTAAATGCAGGGAACGCATTAAGGTAAAAAAAAGCTTAGAGTTTAGAACCACTTTAAGAGGAAGTCAGCTTTTGATGTTAAACATATTAATGTGCACTTATTCTCTTTGTTTGAAGTCCTGTCTGCAAGAATTACGGCGGCAGTTTCCTGGCAGCCACAGAGTGAAGAAACTAACTGGCATGAGATTTGAAGCCATGGAAAGGTAAAATAATTAATACCATATATGTTCAAATGTTTTCTGCTCGTATTTTGTTGTGTCTTTTCAGTACACTTCAATCAGTGCAATAATAGAGTTAATTCACTTGAATGCTCTTTACATCCACGATCTAATAATTTATACCATAAATATTTTATTAATAAAGTTTCTAAAATCGTTTCTAATACTAAACTAGATCTACAGTGCAGTTGTGCATTTGAAATAACTGCTGCCAGTGTGGGTTCTCTTCATTAAACATGGGTTGTAACAGAATGAAAGAATAATTTTAATCTTCAATAGTAATTGCCGCCATTACTCCAGGAATGCATAGATAATATGTTTGGAATTTAACAGAAAACAAATATAGTTTTTAACTGTCTTTTCTACACCGCTCGTAATGCAGTTCAGTGTTCTGGAAGAGAGCAATCTTAGAATGAACATGTATAATGTGATCCCAGAGCAGATTCTCTCCATAAACCACAAATTTATTTTTTCTGCTCCCTCCCTATCTTGCTGTGGTTGTCACAATGGATCATTGCCCAAGTGCACAACAAATAACAATGGTATGATCCCCACATCAATTTTTTTTTAATTCTTTTTTTTTTTTTTTAGTGTTGTTGCCCTTTTATATACACCCCACCTGCTTCAGTTTGTTTTACTTTAATTTTTATGTGATTTTAAACAATTGAGATAAAGAGAAAAAAATATAATTTTATATATAACGTATTTTCCGGCGTATAAGGCAACTAGGTGTATAAGACGACCCGCTAATTTTTCAGTTAAAACATAGGTTTTGGGCTATACTTGTCATATAAGACTACCCCCCCCCCCCCCCAGAGGGAACACTATTTAAAAACATCAGATTTTTTAATTGAAATGGTTATGACTTACCGGTACTTAAAATCCTTCAAAATCCTCATGTTCATCCTCTGACATCATAATGACATCTTGTGATACATTTGTAAGAAAGTCATCATATGGATCAAATTCCAAATCAGATGGTTACCGCTGGATGTGCAGTAATACGGTAGCTTCGGGTACATACAGTATACAGTATATACAGCCCGCTGGATGTGCAGTAATGTACATACAGTATACCGCGCTGAGCCAAGCTGGCTCAAAACAAATGTCCCTATGACAGATTAATCTGTAAGACCGCTGGATGTGCGGTATATACAGTGTACTGAGCCATACCGCTGTTGAGCCAAGCTGTTTCAAAACGTACCGGTACGTCCCTACTGTAATCAGACCGCTGGATGTGTGTATGTACAGTAGCTGAGGCTACATACAGTATACGCTGGGCCAATCATGGCGAACGATGTATTCTACTAATGAATACAAAGCCTGCTCGGATTGGCTGAGGTTGTGACATCATCAGCCCACCTCTTGACTCAGCCAATCCGAGCAGGCTTTGTATTCATTAGTAGAATACATCACTTGCCGTGATTGGCCCAGCGTATACTGTATGTAGCCGCAGCTACCGTACATACACGCATCCAGCGGGCTGATTACAGTAGGGATGTACCGGTAAGTTTTGAAACCGTTTGGCTCAACGCAGTATACTGTATATACCGCACATCCAGCGGGCTGACAGATTAATCTGTCATAGGGACATTTGTTTTGAGCCAGCTTGGCTCAGCACGGTATACTGTATGTACAGTATTACCACACATCCAGCCAGCTTGACCCAAACAAACTCAAGGTTCACATTTTTATACCCCGCGTATAAGACGACCCCCAATTTTTGGGGTATATTTTTAAGTATAAAAAGTAGTCTTATACACCAGAAAATGCTGTATATTCACACTGTATGCATAATTTTAATATAATTTGTATGTAACATTTTTCCAGAATCTGTTTACTCTCAGACTCTCCGCTGTAAATTCTCTGAACAGGTACTGAAGGGGAAGATGCCACTTCTCTGACTCATCCTGTTGTACTTTTGCTGTTAGGCCCCTTCCACATGAAGGGTCTGATCTGGTCTGCTTGTCAGTTTTTCAGGTAGCGCTGATTGAAACTGCCATTCGCCCCTATGGACCGGCAAGTGCAGGATCAGTCCCCCTTCATCTAGGCGGATTAGAGGGCGGTCGGGTGTAAACAGATAGCGGAGCCCGTTTACACCCAACCACCCATAGAGCAGAGCTGGCTCTGTCCAAGTAAGCTCTGCATAAACTGAAGGGACACAAACCTGTCTGTCATTTGCCCTCTCTGTTCTGATCAGCAGGGGATCAGTGGATAGATCCCCTGCTGATCAAATCAGAGTCTGCCTCATGTGAAAGGGGCCTTAAGTTCTCTAAATAACAGGCTTATTTCAACTGCTATACTGTATAAGCTTAATTTAACTGTTCAAAAGTAAATAATGTATTTTAAATCAAAAAATAAATAAAATCAAACTATGCACTCCCTTTTTAAGGAGATGTAGAATTTTTTTGATAGGGCCCCTCCATTTAATGACATAAAGGTCTCTCATATTTGGCAGTCTCTTAGCTGACAGTAGTTGTACCTGCATTGGGACAAACTGAAAATACAATGGACCCATAGGGCAATACTTCTCATCTCAAATATATTATCTAGCACTATATAACTCCAAAGTTGTATTTAGTTCCTCCTGATTCAAGTAAATTTGTCTAAGGTATGCTAAAAATTTGTGATCATTGCCAGTGCCCTTGGAACCGTATGTTTTAATGTAGTTTAGGGCCCATTCACACCACATGCATTGGGCTGTGTTGCTCACTACAGGCCTGATGCAAAAAAAACAAACCAAACCTATTGTTTCGAGTAGTCTCAGTTCACATTGTAGGTTCCATACAGGTCCAGGGTTGTGTCCAACTGCAGTGGAGCCCTGTCCCTGAAGAGCCCCCCCCCCCAACGGGAGTATGCCAAGCAAGGGGGTGAAGACTTGGATCAGGCTTACTCTCTAACATCCTTGGCTGCTTGGAGAGCTGCTCCAAGGTGGCTGCTGTTAGTCAGGGATTTTGCCCCATCTAGGAGTCCCATGTGCTAGCCCTCAGGTCCCTGAAGGGTTATAATGGGAGCATGAGCTTCGGCACATTCTTTCATGGCTGGCAGTGTGGGAGACGGGGCATCTTCCCTTTTTACATTTGAAGCTGTTTTTGTGTCACTGGGCTCTGGACTTATTCCAGTTAGGCCTACTGACTGGCTATGCAGAGGACGTTCTCCCCCTACACTAGTACACAGCTTTTTCTTTTTAAAGATCTCTGGACATTGGGATTCCCAGCTGAATGAAGTTATTCTCCCCGGAGGCATAACCCTTCCCTGTACTACAGTATGGTTAGTCGTAGTCATGAGCACTTGTAGAAGAAGAAATGTAGGTGAATGGGAGAAGGGGTGGATCAGCGAGCCCAACTGGCTAACGCTCAGCTCATGGCTCGGTGGGATGTGGTTATCAATGCAGTACATATCTAGGGAGGAATTTTCTACCACAATGTCTGAAAACTTTTCACTATTTTGGAAGGGTCAAACTGCAAGGGCTGCTAACTTGCCCTCTCCTCCTCTTCCCCCAGAGTCATTCTTTGCCCTGCTTCTGGCTGCTGTGGCACTCCCTGAGAAGGATGAAGCCTGATCTGGCTACGAGGGATTGTCACAGGAGGTGGTTTGCTAAACCTTCCCTGTACACTCCCTTTTACAGCCTGTGTTGTACTGTGACTGGCTGCATCCCGGTAAGGTGTTCATCCCTCCCAAAGTTTTTGTTTAGCAATACCCTTTTGAGAAGGATTTCCTAGAGAAATGGAAAATCCATTTCTTGCCTGAAACAACTGTCCCTGTTGAGAATAGTCTCATCTTCTAGGACCGAATGTTAGAGGCCCTCCTTAGAGCATTATCCTCCCTAGCAGATCAGGATATACAGCCTGCTCTTGTGACCTTGTATGCATGTCAGGCTTTAGCTGTCTGATCCAAACCTATGACTAGGGATCCCTTATCTATTTTGAAGAATCTTTGTCATACCTGAACATGGTACCAGTAGCACTGCACTACTGTGTGGATTGCTTAGTAGATGTGTTGCACCAAATAGCGTGAGCCTCCTTGCAGTGCATATGCGAAAGATTCTTTGGCTCATTTGTCAATCTGCAGAACTTCAGTACAAACAGTATCTTATGTGGATGCCCATTGGCAGGCACCACCATCCTTGGTGTCTCTTTTGACACTTGTGCTAAGGATGTCAGAAGGAGGATTAAATCAATAATCGTTCCTTTCTTTAAATTTCAGGCCTCTTGCTCCAAATCCAAACCCAGTGCTCAAATGCACCAGAAAGCTTGAACCTTAAAGTCTGCAAAGTCAGGGAGCAAACCCTCTTCTATAGGAGGGGTGCCTCCACTTCCCTGAGTGGGGAATGTTTGTCAGACTTCTCGGTCATCTGGTCACATGAAATTTCAGATTTTACATGTTTGTATCCATGGACTCTGCATCCACCCTGCTTCTATTCAAACCTGTTCTCCATCCCCATGGCTAAAGGAGGCATTTACACTATTCTAGATCAAGATTTTCAACAGGTTTCTTCGAATTCAAAAATGAAAAATAGTAAGATCAGTCATAGTCTACCTTCAACTAAGGCAGTGTTTCTCAACTCCAGTCCTCATGGACCCCCAACAGGTCATGTTTTCAGGATTTCCCTCAGATGAAACAGCTGTGGTAATTACTAAGGCAGTGAAACTGATCAAATCACCTGTGCAAAATAATGGAAATCCTGAAAACATGACCTGTTGGGGGTCCATGAGGACTGGAGTTGAGAAACACTGAACTAAGGGATCTTCAGGCCTTTGAAGACATCGAGGATGCCTATTTACAGTACACATCCTTACTATTTCAAGGTTTGTATTCATAGTCTGTGGGTTAGATGCAGGCTACCTTCTGGTGATTTGACACTGGCAAAAATACTTTTGGTAGGGCTGCCCCTAGTTTCACGCTCCTATAACCCCACTCCATCAGACTTCAGTTTTTTGCTAGTGTCCTTAGGTGATGGATCTCTTCCCCCTTGGAGAAGTTTT